GGCGGCGCGGCGGCCCGGGCCGTAGGCGCCCGCTGCGGGTCACCCGCTCGTCTCACCTGGGCGCGCTGCTGCCCCCGCGGAGCCCCTGGAGTCCCGCACGACGGAGTTCGGGAACGAACTTCCCGCGCTTGCTATGTTGCCCTTTGGAGACAAAACAAGGTATTTCCTGGAGCATCGCCGGTCCCACCCTCTCCCGGGCGGGGGTGGGGGCGCGGGTCACACCCGCGGGCGCTGCTGCGCCAAATGAACTGAGTGGCTCCTTGGTCTTCCTTGACACTCTCGAGGATGCGGTACTCGGGGGGGTCTTCGACTGGGCCCTTTTTCATCTTGTTTTTGGGGGGTTCCCCCCCCCAGGAACGGCGAGAGTTGGTGTCGATTTAATCACTTTCGGGGTTGTCTGGCAGAGGGGAAGGCTCCGGGACAAATCTTTTCTCTTTCATCGTCCAGCCCTCGCTTTTAAAATTCTCTTCTTTGCTTTCGCCTTCTTCCTTCAAAACCTCAAATCCGAAGCGGCCAGGGGCCCTGAAAAGTGGTTTCTTTTTTACACGGCGCTTCCCTGCGAGTTGAGGGAGAGACGCTAAGGCCATCTCTAGGTCTAGACTTACCGGCTGCGATGGACCAGCAGTTTTGGGGGAGTCTCCTGCCACTCCGAGGCCATCTGTACCCAGTGCCCTTTCACTCTTGCTCACTCCCACCCTTCTGCTCTCATTGACATGGCGCATAGAATGGGGAGAACTGGCTGATTTTTTAAAAGCGTGTTGGAGGTGTTCGTTAGGCAGATAGATTATTACGGTTTAAAGAAAAAAGTGCCTTGTCTAATAATTCAGCATACACGTCCTTTTCTTTGTTCTCCCCTTTTCCTTTAAAGACGTAGCTTGGGGGTGGTTTGGTGGTAGTTTTTGACTAGTCACAGATAAGAACACTACACTTTGCCAAAACTTTGAAAGTGCAGCAACATTTATTGGCAAATAAGTAGAAAGAGTTGTTACATTTCTTTTCCCATTATTTTTTCTCCCAAGTAGCATCGGATTAAAATCCTGTTTCTCAAAATGAACATGTGCATTGTAAAATTTAGGTCATCTGAGTCTAAAAGACTTTTTAAAATTCTTTTGTGTAGAGTCTTAAAATTATAGTTGATATTGGCAAATAGGCTGAACACTTTCTGTGATATATAAATGTGTGTGTATTCTTAAGAGAAAAACTTCTGTTGAATGTAAGTTTAAAAGTGAAATGTAAAATATTTAAGAGTAGTTCAGGCCCTCAGTTTTAAGAGTTATAAAGTGCTGAGAGTTGTCAGTGTAAACAATATAATCTAAGAATTTGTTTGTAGCCAGAGGTCCTTCATGAAACAATATTCCAGTTTGGCTTTTTACATCTGGTGGCATTAACCGGAGACTTTTAAAATAAGTATAAGAAGTTGGACATTAGCTGATTATAAAAATGCCAAACTACTAAGCCCAATGTGGTTCACATAATTGTGGTAAAAAGTTATTGCATACATTTTAACTTTACAGCTAAGAATTTTTTTAACTTGAATCCCACATCACTTTGATTTTTCCCTTTTGTTACACTTTGTAAGTGTAAAATGAATTCTCTGTATGATTCAGAATAGTTTTGTAGAGGCATGTGGCACATTTTAGGATTTAAAATATTCACTCAGATTGTCCATCTGCACCATTAATCCGGTTTGGTAATGGAACTATTTCTACATTATTTAATTGTTATCATTTGACATTCATGCATGCTTCTCTATCCTCAGTAGTAGTCATTGAGCATAATGAAGGTTCTTATTCCCAAATTCTCAAACATCTGTGAATTTTGGTTGAACTTGAAAGCATTTGTGTTGCTATATTACATTATTTCCTATGACCATCTTCAAATACAGAGCTAAGCACTTCATTAAAAGCTATCGATTGGAGCTTTTTAGTTATGTTTATGTCAGTTTGAGAGTGTCAGCTGAAGAATTCATAACATAATCTATTGGTAAAAAATAATAATAACTTGAGTCTAGTAAACTACATCTGGAAAACTCCCACTCTCACTGATCTAGACAGTTTTCAATCTAAAGGTCTGAGATACCTTATTGAGGGCTTTTATGTGCCTGCCTTTACAAAAGAAGCCTTCCTGGTGCTAATGCCACTAAACAGGTGTTACTCCTGACACCATATAGAATAAAGTTACCTTTCATTAATCACTAATCATCTCTGTGATTGTTAGTGATGTTTTAGGTCATTTAGCAGTGTAAGGGTGACATGATTGACTTTTTATTGCTTTGTTTTGTACCAGGCAAAATGATTGAGAATATTTGGCATATACTGGAAATAGGAGATATTAAGGACAGGTTTTTATGATAGCTTGGATCAAAGTCCAGAAACTGTAGGTTTATACTCCCATGGAACTTTCTATGATAGACTTTATTTGACACTGCAAAGCTGTGCTAAATTAATTAAAGTTCCAGGTCCTATATTTAGAACTCTTTCTTTTTTATTTTGTAATTCTTACATTTAAAAAGCTGTGGCATTTTTATTTGCAGGGTATTTATATTATAATCAGATTATGGGTATAAATATTGTTATTCATTTAAAAAATATTATTTCTATAATTATATAGGAATATACACTTTGCACAATTTTCAGCCAAAGGATCTGTTAAGCATATTTTGTTAGGCATTTACCCAGTGTGACTTTGATTATTTATAATACTTTTCAAATGATAATTCTGATATAATAATGTCTTTTTTTTTTTTTAACATTGCTCATAACCATCTAAGCTGCCTTTGAAATGATGGTTCCCATTGCTCTTTTACTTCTAGTATTTTCAAAGTTTTAAATTCAGACCCATTTTAGGGCCTGAACTACATGATCGTGATTCCTAAACATGTAGTAGAATTAATGCATTGGCAGTTAGTCTTGAAATAAATCTGTTTGCTTAAAATAAGACAAACCTAAATAAACTTGTTGTAAAATTCAGTAGTTTTTTTTTTTTTTCAGTTTGTAATCTGAAGATCTGTAGAAATTGCCAGTATTTTCAGGAGATCATGTCCTCATCACCTCAAGATTAGGAAATTTTTTAGTATTTTGATTATGCTAGTCAACAGAACTTTCTTCACTTCTGCCTGATCAAATGACTTGACTCTGATATCAAATATCAGTTCTTTTGAAATTCTGTTCAAGTGGTATAGGTAAAGTTTGTACCTTCACCCTTATCTGATTACTCCCTTCCTCTAGATTTGAAAACACAAATTAACTTAGAACGTTGCTTGAACTGCCTAGTGTGTTTTAATAATGCTCAGGAAAGATTTCTTTTATAATTGAAAAGACTAAACAGAACTGTGTTTTTTTTATTAGTTTATCCCCCAAACAGCTTTCCACCTAATGATCGATTAGACCCATAACTACTGTGTTGAGCTATACTTGTTCTTTGTTCCCAGAGCTGCTTGTGGCATAAAAAAATTCTTTCTTGGATAAAAAGCCCTTAGTTAGGACTGTAGGATAAATAAATCAATGAGTTGATTGAGAGTGAAGGATTGAAAAATGACTAATTTCTGCATGGAGGATGCAGACTAGCTATGGACTTTGCAGGACTTCCTATGAAATTAGTTTAGCTGCACAGATGTAGATTCGGTTGGCCAGTGTCACAGCTGATGGATGTGGCTTGGAAGTGTCTATTATATCAGGTTCTCAGGAAAAGTGCCTTTGAGCTACATACCTAGGATTACAAACTGAAGAAAGTCTTTCCACATGAGTCATTCACTTGATATTTAGCTCTGCAATCCTATTTACTGACTTGGATTTTATTTTGAATTATATATACTTTTTACAATAGGAGTGCTTTATTCATTTTCTCTGAATAG